AGCCTCCCACCAGATACCATATACAATTTCACTTCATCTGAACCTTCTTTGACTAAGTTGAAATTAACTTTGTAACGGCGAAAAAGCTCGTGAACTGAGGTTTCCAAGTCTTGCTTATCGCAGAACGGACAACAGAGGTCGATTCGAGGTAGATCTGATTCCATGTTTTTGTTATCTGGATCATATTTGCAGGGTATTTCTGCATGAGGGCGGGTGGCGGTTAACAAAAGTTCTTTCATTCCTTCGATTCCTCTGTCCAGAAAAGCCACGAAAGAGTCTCGAACGAGAATAAAACTTAATTTAACGGCCAGCTGTTGGCCAAAAATGAACACAACGAATGAAAAATGAGGCAATTCTTTCTTTATAGTTGCTGGACATTCTTTAACGACGCTAAAACATTTGTCCACCTTATCTTGATAATCATAATGGACCTTAGTGACTTCATCTGATGTTTTTAAGAGGTCTACGTCACCTTCGCTTGTGTACCTCTGACACTCATCACGCCACTCGTTCTCCTGAAGGGCCAAGATTTCATCTTCAGTTAGCTCAAGAAATAGCGTTTGACTGGGGTTCATTCCAAAAAATACATTAAAGATGAGAAAGTATTCTGCTTTCGTTGAAGGGTACCGAAGCGTTCCGCCATAGCTTTTTATCACGTCAACGACTTTGCACCAAGGACTGTACCATCCACAAGATTCGCCACCAATAAATTTCGCCAAGTACATGGGAGTGATCCCATCTTTGTTTGGACAGTTGACATCAATGCCTTTCACTCCATTGGTGGATAACAGTTGTGCAATAAACTGCCACATTCCACGGGAAGCCGCAATGTGGTACAAGGTAAGATCTGAGCGATTTCCATTACAGCCCACATCAAATGTTCCGTTTTGGAGAATGTGATTCAAAATTGCCGAGGCTGAGAATGAGGCAATTTCCACTTCGAGCGCTGTAAGTAAACTGGGTTGGTCAAGATTAAGGAATGGCCTATATTTCACAGCATATAATACTGAAATCCATAACGAAGAAAACCCGTCGGCATTTTCTATAGAGTGGTTTGCTCCCCACGAGAGAAATTTTTGAATAGCGACCAAATTTGCTCCTTGGGCTGCTCTGTGAAAAGCGTTAAAACCCTCTGCATCAAAGCATTCATCGATAACTTTGATTCCATTAGGATGTGACAAAATTGCTGCAGTCAAAGGTCCGTTCCCAACCCGTACAGTCTCCAGCTTTCCGTCGTTGATTCTATCCTCGTATGTATCGAAGAAATAGTCAAAAATTGCATTTTCTGTTTGCAAGTATTTCTGCCAATTGTCACTTCCCATTAAGAACTCATAAACATAGTGCAAGTAATGTAATTTATGGTAGGAAACTAGGTGGAAAGTGGACATATCAAAAGGACGCCCACATCTAATTTCCACCTCCACGTTATGTTTTACTAAGACTTTTGACATATGCCGACCACCAGTATGTAAATAAGTTAGAAGGGGACTTAATCCAAGCCAATTTCGACAGTTTACATCCAAGCCAGCTTGCAACGCAATGTTGGCGGTATAAACTAGATTAAGTCCAACGTAATTCACCAACCTCGAACAGTTCAACTTTAACTTTGTGAACGCAGATGTTAGTGTTTTAGCCATGAATTTCTTTACAAAGTTTGGAATTACGCCCTGTTCATATGGTTTGTTTAAAGCTGCAACTTGTCTTTTAATATTTTCACCGATGGTGACATCGTAAGCAAAATTAACAGGAGTTAATGAAAACACGAATGAGCTCTCTCCGGCTTCACTGCTTCCTGTGAGAAGAAGTGAGATATTGGTCTTTTTTTCTAGTTGTACAAGAGCGCTTCGATTTTGATTATCTTTCATTAATAAGAAATCTCTTTTTCTTTTTCTTGCTGTAGCAGCAACGCATTTGACAAGTTTAATAAATGCACGTAACCATGGATACTCTTTACTTAACTTGGTCAGGGTCTCTTGCTTGGACGTGCCAGCTGGATTCTCTATCCAACTTTTAGGTTCGTGCACATACCAATCGATCAAGTATTCATTTCCTACGACATCAACGTTTTTCACGACATAGTGTAATGGTGTCATACCCTCATTATCGACAGCAAGTGGATCACAACCCAGGTCTAACAGAGGCTTAAAAACATCCTTTGCGAAACATGTTGCTGCACTGTGAAGAGGTGTAGAACCGTTCAGGCTCGTTGCATTAACGTCTGAACCACTTTTGGCAAGAAGGAACACAAGAGCTGTCATACCATGGCAAGAGGCGACATGAATCGGGGTGGAGCCATTGCAGTCACCCGCATTTACATCCGCTTTGTTCCTTAAAAGCAGCTCGGCTATACTATAGTAGCCATAAATGGCAGCGATATGTAAAGGAGAAAATCCACAAGGACAAACATTTTGAGCCAGTTTACCAGTTAAGAACGGTTTAAATTCCATTGATGATGATACTACAAGATGGCATGGAACATTGGCATTTGCCCCAGATTGTAACAGCAATTCCAATGCGTTATAGTTGTTTAAATAAGTAGCCTCGTGTTGTGGGCGTCTACCTGCAGAATTTGTACAGTTTATAGCACTTTCGTCCAAATCTCTTAGCAGTACTTTAATGACGGAAAGGTGTCCTTTCCTGACTGCTGCATGAAGTGCAGTCTCACGCAGATAAAGATGACGATTATCATACAAGTATATTTCTGGGGCTTCTGATTCCTTGTTCTCTCGACTTAAAAATATAAACGCTGGAGAATTAGGGATGCAAGTGTCTTTTACTCCCTCCCTCAATAAAAACTGGACAACATCTCTGTGCCCACCAGCAGCCGAGTGGTGTAGTGCGATGTCATCTAAAATGCCACCAGCTTCCTTTAGTACCTTAACGGTCTCGAGATGTCCATTAGCTGCGGCTAACTGTATGGCGGTATTGTTAGTCCCTGTTCTTGCCGAAATATTCACTTTGTGCTGAATAAGAAATTTGACGACGTTGATATTTCCCTCTTGAGATGCAGTGTGCAGTAACGAATACTTGCATTTCTTTCGTTTACATTCAATGACGGGATCATAGGAATGCGACGCAATTTCATGGTCAATGTAAGTGCCAGCCGTTTGGTTTAAGTTGGCCCCTCTTTCGAACAGGGCCATCAGATGATCAACATGACCCGTAGCTGCCGCTAGAAAGGAAGGCGAAATCTGGTCGTTATCGATGCAATCAACGTCAGAGAAGTGCTGCACCAGTAGCTTGGTCACATCTGCACTGACCAAGCTTGAACTATAGTGGAGTGCAGTTGTTTTTGTCAGAGGGTCCGTGGTGTTAACATATTGCGAAGGAAGGGATAGAAACTGTCGGACTAGAAATTTAGCAAAACCCCCTTTGACAACGTGGTTGGCAAGGTGAAACGCTTCCTCAGGCTTAAGAGGTGAACGACTTTTCTCAGCACGCATAAGGTAGTACTTTGCAAGAAGGTTGTGGCCCTTTTCTTTCTGGACATAGTATATCTTTCCCTGATTGCTTTCATTGGTAAGCCACTCGGATAGAGAGGAATGGTGAATTCTAATCGGGCCGTCTCCAGATCCATGCCACAAGAACAAAGACATTTGGTCAAGTTTTGGTAGTAAATCGTATACCAAATCAAGAGTCGGTTGATCAAGTATTAGCAACGAATGCAAATCATAGACCGTGAGCGGGGTATAGGCTGCAACCAAGACTTCAAAAATTTTTCTCAAAGGCTGAAACGAAGATGGTGTTCGAAACTTAGTTTCAAAGTAAAGTTGATAAGAACTTTCGAGGGTCTTGGGAAATGTCTCCCAGCTAACGCTCTCTGTTGATGCAAGCCACAAGTCAAGCACAACCTTTACATACAGGAAGTTTCCCTGGCCTTTTTCAGCCAGCTTAGAAACAATTATCTGTGAAGGCGAGTCATTGTCGGTAATTCCAAGAGCCGTTGTTATCCTCTGTATGATAGGTTCTCTCAGTGAAAAAACCTTAAGAGACAAATAATTGTCAATGTCCTGAATATTTCTCTTATCGTCAGATCTTAGCTCTACTTTTTGAAGCTTCTGTAGGTTTGTAGTGATACTGCTTACATTACGCGAACTGATGATTAGTTTCATCCACTTTGGAAGGCGTCCAACTTTCAATCTCAAAATGTTCAAAATATCTCCTTTGTCATCTGAGCATTCATCCAAAGCATCAATGATGATGTACCAGGGGCTACCTGGCTGTAGACTGAGTGATTTTAGCGGACTAAGAATGCCCTGGTCAAAGCACCACTCTGGATCTTTGGGACATTCAATGTAGAGCACTCTACGGACAAACGAGTTTGTCAGAATATGCTCTCGGTATTCTTTGATTTTCCAAGCGACCATATTTGCAAGATTTCGGACAAACTTGGTTCCATCCTGCGTTGCTCTGTCATAATGCATGCAAAAATGATAACCAAGGATTCTGTTGTGAATAGTAGGACTGGATTTTGCAGAACAGAGTAAGTTGCTTAAAAAAGCAGATTTTCCTGTTCCTGGATTTCCTGTTATCAACACGCCCCGCGTATTAATATCCTCTAAGACAAGTTCAAGTTCGTGGTAGAGCCACTGACGACCAATAAAGTCTGTTTTAGATGAATTGATGAATTCACTGAAGTCAAAATATTTTAGCTCCAGTGGATCGTCATACTCCCGGATGGAACAGCCTAATCATGAAAGTTAAAAACAGAAATCATGCTTAAGCAAAAGAAATAATCAAACATAAGGAACTACCACATACATCTTCAACTAGTACAAAATTTGGGGTGTTTTCTTGGTGTCGCATTAAAACGGGCTTTTGCTGATAAGCAATTGTGTTGTGGGTGAGTATTGATCCTGTTTTTTTTTTTTCAGTCTCTCGCACCATGTAAGGGAATAGAAGACAGTCTTGGATTCTGGATTCCACGCTGTGGATTCCGGATTCTAGTTACTTGATTCCAGTATTTGTCATTTATTCGGATTCAGGATTCCAATCTTTAGTGGGATTCCGGTTTCCTTGAGCTGCATTCCGGATTCCAAAGCCCAGGATTCCGGATTCCATAAGTAAAATTTTCCCAGATTCCGGAATCCGCATTCCCTTACATGGGGCGAAGTCTCTTTTATTACATCGTTTAGTGTTAACACATTTTGCTAGTCATTGGGGTATTCTATAAAATTGATATCCAATTTATCCATAAATAAACGCCATATGTACTGAAATACCCTGCGGTGGACAAGCATTCGATCCCAAAGAAAATAATTACTCCATTTGTTCAGGTGCTAGCCTCGACCTCGTGATCTCTACTTCGTGCACAGGCCTGTTTCAATTGTTATCGACTTCTCTTTATAGTGCAAGAGAGGACATATCGCCCACAGATTTTTTTCGGCCACACACATGGTATCAAGAACTTCACTCCGTTTAGTGAAAATCTCTCAGTAACTGACATTTCTTGAAACAACCGATGAAACGGACGCTCCTTTATATTCTATTTTTTCGTGAAAGCTGTGAAGTTGTTCAACTAATACGTTTTGTTTTTCTTGTAGGTGTTAGTATTTTTTTTGTCTCGTCCTGTGTCGATTAGTTTAAAGCCATTTGCGAGATCAAGACATATGGTATAAATTGTAGAAAACGGTCGAAGCGTCGCGATCAATATTCAAGTGAACATCGTGAGACGAACCAAAAACGAAACCCTGACTGCTGCTGTTGTTTTTGCTCTTTCCACGTTCTACTTACCGTCTCTGGTGAAAGAATCATCCAAAACAGTGTATAAATGACAAAGAAACAATAGTATAAACAGTGAAGTCAGGTCTCGTTTTCTTATGCCCTTGATGTTTCCTGCCAAATTTCCAAAAACAAGGGCAATAAAACTACCCATTTCATCCCATAAGAAGTTCTTTGTGTACTTTTCCTGATTTACGTCGGTCAAAGTAGGCTGCGCCGCCAGAGCTCTCTTTAGCATTTCCTGTTGCTCTTTGAGATGTTCTTGCTCTTCTTTATTTTTTTGAGATTCTTCCTCCAAATTGATTAATTTCATGTTAATAGTTGAGATTTCCTTTCCAATCACTTCTTTGAAATCAGCCAAAACTCGGGCTTCCATACTGTGTAGGTCTGAAATACCTTTCAGGTTGCCAATTTCTTTGAGAGCTTTTTGAACATCGCTGTCGTGAGCAAAGCCAGGATCTTTGAGCAAGTCTTCAATAGCGTCAAAGGCAACTTTTTTGTCCGTATCATTCAGTTCCAGTGTAGGCACATGTACCCACTTGGTGTTCCTGATTTCACGTACATTTTTAATCAAGTGCTGAGGAATGGTAAAGTGATTGCAGAAGTACATTAGATTTAGGATGCCTGTAATGTCCATGTCTTCTGCTTTCTTTATCAAAACGTGTCCTCCCACATCAGGCAAAAAGAGCTTAGCTATTTCCCAGGGTCCAAGGATAGGATCCAGCCATTTTGAAGCATCACTTTGCTTCCAAGTTGGTTTGTGCGTGTGATGACCCTGAAGAACATTTGCCCATGCACACGTGCCCATGTCATGGTACTGATTTGGCGTTCGTCGTGGAACAAATGCACACTTACAGGGTCCATACATTGCAAGCCTCGCCTTTAAATTCTGGTAGAAAGTAGCTATCTGCAGGTTGATAAAAGGGCGTAAACCTTGACAAAGTTCTGTTATCAGGGCGTGTCCAAGAGCGAGCCAGTTTCTGTACTCTGGTTTAACAAGCTGGCCCACTGTTCCCGAGGCGCTCGAGGATGACATTTCTGCAACTATTAGAAAACACAAAATTGGGATTATCACTTCGTGGTTGGTGAGTGCGTACGATTTTCATTCACGCTTTGTGAAGAATCGCAAACTCACTCGTTTGCTACGCTCACTCGTTCGATTGATATTCTTCACAACAAGTGAATAAAAATCGTACAAGCGAACGAACGATGAAGTTATTTTGTTTATTTTATAAGTGCTGAGGAGTTTCTTTCAAACAGTAACGTCAAAAGCGAATAGACGATGGAATGAGTTCTATTCACTCAAAGGCTTAATAACTTAATAATGCTTAATAACTAACCGGCACTGACCAAATCTGGAAGTTTCTGATATTATACCTTCATAGACGTCAGTCACTCGGAAGTCAATAATTGCATATTTAAGAAATTCAAATTTCTGTAAGGGCCCCCCTGCAGACCATGAAAATAGCAAGTGACCCCCCTTCAATATTTACGTGATGACTAGTGGTGTAGTTAGTGGAGGGTTCCAGGGGTTCCGGAACCCCCCTTGGGCTACGCACTGGCTATAATTTCAAGAGGAATGAGATTTTAGCTGTTAAAGAAATGAGAAGAAAAAGATAAAAAGCATCACATCCTATTTCGAGGGTTACATATTGCATGTTGTAATGGTTTGACTATGAGAGGGTTTAATACAGAGTCGGTAGAGGCATAAAAGTGAGAAGTAGAATCAGATCAGCGTTGATGTTCGCAAATCAGTGTGTGAGGAAATTGTCTGAAAATTAAATGAGGCGTTAACGCTAACAGCACGGCGAACTGCCTAAAACATACAGTATTCAATTATGAATTCATCATGTGCCACCCAGGTTACCATGATGCAGTGCCTTTTCCTTACATAAAAGCTACTCAGTATCAGGCTCCGAAAGCGAGACATCGATGTCTATTAGGCCACCATCGCCACTAATTTTCTACCCTGGGTGGCAGAGACTTTTCTAGCGCGGTTTCCGTTTTCTGTCAAGTCTTCATAGTGACCCGCACGATCCCGCCGCACACGAGAAAAACCTCTGGTACCCAGGGTACTATAAATTTTCATGAGGCGGCTTTTCCGTTGGCAGCGCAAATGACTCAACGCGGAAAAAGACCTTTCTAGTAGTGCTGTTTATAGCTTGGCCATGAATTCCTTCCAAAATTCAAGTTGCTACGTATTTCAAGTACATTACAATTTACATCGGCAGAACGTGAGCGATGGTTTAGCACGTTGCGCAGACTTAGCACACGTTGGCAGCGACCGTGACTGAAGAGCGAGAGGTCGCTGCACTTGCTCTGATGAACATTGCATAACACAAATTGGCCCTTAGTAAGTCCAACAATCAACACCTTTGCACGGAAGCATCCATGATGCCTCCTTCAAATGTCCTTACTGAGAAAACGGCAAATCACAAGACTACAGTGTGTGTTTTAATGTATTCAACGATTATCAACATATATGTTGTAGTTAATTTTTTATCTTCGTTTGTTTCAACTTCATTAGCATACATTACTATACCCAAAAACAGAAGAAAAACAAAAATTAACTGAGATAAAAAATTGACTACATCATAAACATTTTATAGTCTATCTCGCTATCTCTTCACCAAAGCGAAAACACGATTGCTTTATTTGGCACTGTTATTGGAAATTTGTGCTCAAAATCACAAAATGGAATTTCTGAGGACCTAGTATTAAAATTGTCCGGGAAAGAATGCCTTATACCCCATGCCCTTCGAAGCTCGATTGTCAATCTAGACAAAAATACCACAGTAGGAACCCCTCTATACAAAAATGCTGGCTACGCCCCTGATGACCACCCCCTGCTGCCCACCACCACCATCACCTCACCTCATATCTCCTCTTATATGCTCTCCAAAGTAACGATTAAAATGCAGGTATACCTGGATTTTTGAAAACCGGGTTAGCAAAAATATCAACTCATTCTACTACTTGGTAACTTAAAACAACAAAACTCATTCAAAGGCCGATTAAAAGCCTTTATCTGACGCCGGGCAATAAGTTAATGGCCCCTAGAAGCATTCCAACGATTCCAAATTTAAAATGACGCATATTGTAGAACATTTATTCAGTAAACTGACTTCGCGAAGTTTCAAACCGGTGTCATTTCAGTCTAGAAATTTTTAAGTTGAGAGTGAACTGCAGCGAAAGAGTGCCTGGTTAAGGCTTCCATAACAACTTAAATAGTTAGAAAAACACTTCTTTTTTTCGCAGTCCGATAAACAACAGGATTCCGCATTGAATAGACAACAAACTGAATGAAACACAGTGCACAAGTTATCACCTTCTTATCTGCAAAAACCGGCCTATGGTGTAATACCATTAGAGCCCGCTGAAACTAGACCTAGATCCAATTTTTCTGAGTAGAGAGTTGCTTTTCCAAGGTACAGTCAGCTAAGCTAAACACCGACGAAACAATATTAATGGCTGGCACCACAGGCGGCCCAGACGAGGTCTGTGTCACTGAATTGAATATATTAATATTCACATGGACAAAAGAGGATGAGTCGTCGAAACGCCCATGGACTAAAATAGTCCAAAAGTCAAAATATAACAAAACAAAGCTAAGATACCTTTAACTGAACGTATCCTTGCGCTAATCGGCCTTCGAACAACTGGGCCCTGGACTTAAGATCTCCAAAAATGCGTTCTAAGCGGCGCTAATACATAGATACTATTTATAGTTTGCTAATGCAAAATATATAAAATCGTGTAATGCTAAGCGGCGAATGCAACGAGAACTGACAACAATACAATCAGCGACAAAATTGTCGAGGCTTTGTACTCAAATAGGGTAACTTCAGAGAATATAAGAATCCACCCCCCTCCCCGGTTCCCTCCATTCAAAGTTGCGGTGTTTGTTGGTTTCTTAAGGAAGCTCGAACAGCGGCACAACATTGCATGCAGGGGATGGGGGAGGAAAAGCTGTACTTTCCCCTTTCCGTCAAAAAGCCCTGTTAGGGCCAAGTGTCTCAACGCATTTTGTTACCGATTGATATGTGTAATTGCAGCATAGGCGTAAGGGCCGGGGGGGGGGGGGGGGGGGGGCGGCGCCCCCCCCAAATTTTGGGAACCCCAAATTTTTGGGGCAGCAAGGGAAAATTGGGCCAAACCCAGGTTTAAAAGACGTTTCCGTGTTTTTTTTTTTTTTTTTTAAAGGGAAAATTTTTTTGTTTTTTAATTNTCTTTTAGTGTGAACCTACCGTGAACGGCGTGTCGGTTTGAATGCAACGCGAGCATTTCTCTGAGTTTCCCAGCGCCAACATCATCTAACTGACTTAAACTCGAACAATAAAAAAATTATAGAGTGACTCCCATGGTCGAATCGCTTCGAACAACGCAAATAGCCTTCTTCAGGTTCGCAACGCCTTGTAGGTTTTTCAGGAGGAGCGCAGACAAGGTACAAAAAGTATCCGTGCAAGGCTCCGTGGAAGAGAAACTCATATGAAACCATTTGTGAGAACATCGTTTCTCGGTACCAGACCCTCATGTCTTCCCTCCCCCGGGAGACCACTTTTTGGCACCGACGACCGAAAGCCCATTTTATGACGGGGCCGCGCAGGCAGCCCAGTAAAAATGTGTTTTGGACCATCCGATCCTTGCAGGGCCTGTTACAGCGTGGTAATCACAACCTCACTTCATCCTGGATTTGTGTATGATAATACTGCTTCACTTGTGAAACAGAACCGCATTTTGTCTTCTTTTCGCATGGTACGGATATTAGCATGAAAGAGATTATGTTTAGGTTTAAAGTCAACTGGAGCTTTGTGTCGCCGTATTTAGGTAGTTAACAATTTTTTGCCCGTCAGTGATAGCCTGTTCACATACCCTCTATTTTCTCTTCAAAGCGGTCGTCGAGCGTTCTCGCACGCTCGCTTCGCTTGCGAGCTCGCCGATGTTTTCGAAAAGAACGAAAAGAAAAATAAAACAACGTCTGTGTGCAGGCTACGTCAGTGAGGACTTTGTTGCTCATGGTGACTTTGCTTTGGAACATGAAAGAAAATTTATTTGTTAAAAAAGCGGCTACATAGTTTCTCTGAGTGTTATTAAACGTGTGCAAGATGCATCGCGGCCAGCCGCCCTCAGAGAAAGACCTCTCGACAAGTCATTGCTCGTTCTCGCCGGTCAGAAGTCTCTCGTGGGAGCTATAAAGGTACTGTCATGTACGTCTGCTTTCGTGTCTGCTTCTGCGGGCAAAATTAATCGTTTTGTTTATCACTTACTCTGTCAGTGGTAGTGTTGACCAAAATACGACTTAGCTTTATTCTTATTAGAACCACGGCATAAGACAAACTTTTATTTTCACATTCATAGAATTTTTAGATTTCAAACATATAGGATTTATGATAACTTGATTATGATTTATGATTTAAGATTTATTGATTGATTGATTGATTGATTGATTTATTATGACTTGCAAAACAAATTGAAAACCGGAACCCTACCTAGTTTGGTTGTGTTCCTGTGTTTCTTCGGCTGAAGCCGAATCATTTTATGTAAACTTACATTTCTTTTTCTCGTCTGTTTCAAGCGCATATTTAAAGTTAGTATTTTCATCGCAAAAGTGACTGTTGTATTTTACTGACTTTACAAATCATAACTGACTAGAACAGATACTTCAGGTACAAAACCGATTATTATCCACTTGTTCATAAAGTTTTTCAGTTGTCGAAAATAACATAGGCGACACGCTAGTGCGAAAATTTTTCTCTTTGTCATATTCTTGAGCCGAAAACCCAGGAATAATATGTAAATAAAAAAATTTTACTCACATTTTCTGAACCTAAATATCTAAACCGTTTGCTACAAAATTGCTTCTTGAGGAACCCCAGAATATTAGGGAATTTTCTTCTCGGGGTTTTCCTTGTCTCGCTCGCGCGAGTTTTGTATGCGTGAGAGATGTTGCGTGGCTTGCTTAGCACGCACGTCGCGCACGCTGTTATTGGGGGAAAAAAACTGTAGTAAGCCACCTTAAACTAAAATGTCTTGCTA